TCACTGGCCCCACCCACAAAAACTAATAAATAAATAAAATAAAATAAAATAGGCCTAGTTATTGTTTTCAGTGTTTTTGACCCATGTAAGGTTACTAGCCTAACTCATATAAACTTCAAATATTGTTAAAGACGAGTCAGTAATAAAACAACAAATAATCAAATTACGAGCAATAGCACAAATAAATACAACAGAATAATTTAAAAATATAATAAACAGTGCTTTTCACGTTGGTCTAACAGTATTTTTCAGGTATAGAAATTGAATAAAGCAACCACATGTAAAATAACACTGCATAGTCTTTATTGAATAAAGATTAATCCTCATTAAAGTTACAAAAACTATTCAGCCAAGAGCTGTGAGCAATTTTTTTTTTGTATTGTTGTTTGATTAATATTAAAAACACAGAAAGCATCAAGAATATTAGGCTGCTGTCACTTTAAGACCTAATTCATGAATTCAATAGTATAGCCTATTGTTTTTCCATTTCATTTTTCCATTGTTTATCAATGTAAACACATGCTAGACGAACGTCTTTTGCAGCGCCTAGTGCATGGCACAGCATTCTGAAAGTGCGGCACTCAAGTAAAAAAAAAAAGTTCAACTTTCAAGCGTGTCTCTAGACCTTGTGCTTTTATTCGTTCCACTGACCTGCATCTCGTGCTTGGCTCATTGTTTTTATACATGTATTTTAATAATTTTAAAGGCTATTCACTTGGGTCTATTTTTATCACCTCCCCAAAAAAAGAAAAGAAAACACTGATTACTCGATTAATCATCAAAATAATCGACCGATTACCAAAATAATCGTTAGTGAGATCACCCTAAAAATGTAAAACATAACTAAAACACATGTGTAACAATTGCTGAAATTAAATGAAAAAATTAATTACAACAAAAAAAAAACTTGATAAATACATCTCTAAAATAAACAGATTTTTGTATTTTTCACAAAAAAATAAATGGTCAAAAATATGAAAAAATTAGGGCTGTCAAATGATTAATCGTGATTAATCACATCCAAAATAAAAGTTTGTGTTTACATAATATATGTGGGTGCACTGTGTATAATTATTTTATATATATATATATATATATATATATATATATATATATATATATATATATATATATATATATATATATATATATATATATATATAAATTAGGGGTGGAACGGTACATGTATTCGTATTAGGGCTGCCCGTTTTCAAGTTTTTCATTAACCGTTAACCGAGGCCCTTAGCGGTTAATACTCGGTTAACCATAGTGTGCGCGCCGCAACCCCGAGATACAGACACACGAGAAAGGGGTAGTTCATTTTTAACACCTTTAATAACTGGTTGGACCACATTTGAAACGAAATTAATTTATAGAAATAAAACGCAGTGGTAAGGACAGAGCAGTTATGGTGTGTTCACACCGAACGCGAATTTAATTATTTGCGCGAGTGATTACATACAAAGTCAATGCAAAGACGCAAATAGACGCATCATTCGCGCCGGGCGTTGCGAATGATGCGAATTGGGCGACGCGTTTGCCGCGAATGTCTTCCGCGCAAGTTGAAAAATTTGAACTCGAGCGAATGTTCAAGCGTCTAACTAGACGCGATAGACGCGTATTTGACGCTCTATTCGCGTTCGGTGTAAACACACCATAATGATGCCCGGGTGTTGGCTGTTGAGATGGTACAACAACGAGGTTGTACTTGAAGTATATCTAAGCACTGCATTGCAATACTTGCATTTTGCCCCGTCATTCTCGATTTTAAAGCGCTCCCACGCTGTGCTTTTCTTTGCCCGCTTCATATTAGAAAACTGGTCATGACTACTTCTTGTGGACATTACAAATGTCTGGGAGCGCTCTGGCGGTCTCTTGTGGTGCAAAAATGTATTACAACTAAATTCAATGCACGCCACTGACGCCACTTAACCGAGCAAAATGTTTCACTCGGTGACGCAATTTTTAACGGTTAATCGGTTAATCGGTTAACCATGGACACCCCTAATTCGTATCGAACCGAAACGGTACGGGCGTCACGGTTCGGTGCACGAATTTACACGGAGAATACACGGTATAAAAATAAATAAAACTCGCGTGCAAATGAATTAATGTAATGCAGAACTACTGTTAGATACGCGGGTTCTTTAGGGACACATAATCTGTACCATCGGCTTAGCTCTGAACGCGCGTTCACTTCAAACGCTGGCTTTATACGCGCGTCCTATTCGCTTTGGACTAGCGTCGAACTAGACGCGAATTTGACGCTCTATTCACGTTTGGTGTGACCGCACAATGAACAGGCTGCGATGTCAAGATTGCAATGCTGGAGTGGGTGTGTGTGCGCGCGCGCGAGAGAGAGAGAGAGAGAGAGAGAGAGAGAGAGAGAGAGAGGGAGGGAGGGAGGGAGGGAGAGAGAGAGAGAGGGAGGGAGAGAGAGAGAGATAGAGAGAGAGAGGGAGAGGGAGAGGGAGAGGGAGAGGGAGAGGGAGAGGGAGAGGGAGAGGGAGAGAGGGAGAGAGAGAGAGAGAGAGAGAGAGAGAGAGAGAGAGAGAGAGAGAGAGAGAGAGAGAGAGAGAGAGAGAGAGAGGGGCGCGCGATCGAACAGTGGAAACATAAAAACATATTCCGTCATTTTGTTCATACAGATCATTAAACCTGCAAAGTGTTTACTTATATTTGTGTACACTCGCAATAAAACACAACATTGTGCTTTTGTCACACTGTAAACTCTTGTCAAACTGTAACCTACAACTGTCACCCAACCAAAATCACACACACACACACACACACACACACACACACACACACACACACACACACACACACACACACACACACACACACACACACACACACACACACACACACACACACACACACACACACACACACACACACACACACACTGTTTTAAAAGCAAACCATATTTATCCAACTCCATTTCAAAACAGTCTGTGGGTCCCATCTTTTGGACTTTCGTCATATTGCATTGGTTTTCATTTCTTGTGTGAATGTGTTTTTAATGGTAGTATTATTTTATACAGAAATCAATTATTTATAATTCAGATGAGAATAATGTTACATTGTCAATTAATAATGTTAATTAAAATTAAGGAAAACAAATATATTGATCTGAAATATAGCAAAATAATTTAAAATTAATTCAGGTACAATTACCAAACATATCGCAAGGTCTTTTTGTTTTTTTATTAATTTAATTAATAAACTAATTATATAAAACTATTGTCAGTGCACTACAAATAAACTGGTTCTATGCCTTTATTAATAAAACTTATTTAAAAAATACAATGCCTTCTGCATTTTTGTTTTGCTTTTCCCTCCATTGTACCGAAATCGTACCGAACCGTGATGTCTGAACCGAGGTATGAACCGAACCGTGACTTCTGTGTACCGTTCCACCCCTAATATAAATACACACACATGCTTGTATATATTTAAGAAATATTTTCATGTATATACTGTATATAGATTTATATATAATTTATATTATATATAAATATAAATATTTTATATATAAATAATATTTTTTTCTTAAATATACATGCATGTGTGTGTATTTATATATATATATACTAGTGCTGGGCCGTTATCGGCGTTAACGTGCTGCGTTAACGTGAGACTCTTATCGGGCGATAAAAAAAATATCGCCGTTAATCAAAGTTGGGTTGGGATCATAAATAGCCTTTTCGAATATCGTTATATTTTCGCGCAATTCTAATGTGTAGTATGACGCCGCGCCTACTGTCACAGATCGCGCAGTAGGGTATTTTCCTGTCAGGGACACAAGGTGTACTTTTACTTTGTTACGTTGGGCGACGTTCCTCTCGTTACTTTATTTTAATGCAATACGTTGTTAAATGAGTTTATTCCAAGCGCGCTGTGTCCTTTGTATGGGCATGAGCGATGCTCATTTACAAATGAATCACTCTTTTGAGTCGATTCTGTTCAAAGACTTCATCAAACAAGTTGTCAGATGATCTGTCTAAATCGGTTCGCGAATCAGTTGATCTGTTCAGTTCCTCGCGCACTGAATCGTCTGAAGCGCTTTCAATTCACACTCGGAGTCGAAACAGGAAGATTTAAGAGCATCAAGAGCGTTGGATGAAGTGGCCGATCTACAGTCTAGTCTAGTGAATGCAAATCTGCAAATGCATCATATTTTTGCCAGCGATGAAGATCTTTATTAGTTGAACATCTTCGTAAGCTGTCTGTGAATGAATGATTCCACAGGACGATACATTCGATTTAATTTCATTCAGGTAATACATTGTGTGTGTATTGCGCGTGTATTGCGCAGTGGCATAATCACACAAATAGTTTACATTGATTGAAACTAATTTGTTTAAAAATGAGGCTATTGCAGTAACAAGGCAGGTTCACATAAAATTCTTATGACATATGATGACATTATTTTTTGATCTAACGAGCATTGGCGATGCAAAAACGGACTGTCGTGCGTATTGTTTTTTTCTTCTTCCAATTAGCCTACTATGTTAAAAAAAAGGACGAAAACATGTTACTTGTTCAATTAATAAACAGTTTGTTTGATGACAAATCGCTAAAGATGAAATTGGCCTCCCTTTCTGTCATTGCGTTTTTTTTTTTTTACAATATTCGACTTTTGCTCCTCGATTGTCGAATGGCATTTTTGGCAGAAATGCACATCCCTACGCGAGGCAAACTATTCTCAAAGACTTACTTTTAGTCATTATTTGGGTAGCACACATATTCTGAATGCCTTCGGGAGAATTCAAATGAGCCATTTTAATCTAGATTAATTTCTATATTAATCTAGATTAAAAAAAATTATCTATGCCCACCTCTAATATATACACAAAATAATTATACACAGTGCACCCACATATATTGTGTAAACACAAACTTTTATTTTGGATGTGATTAATCACGATTAATCATTTGACAGCCCTAGAAAAAATACATTTTAAAAGTAAGAACCATGTGAGCAATGTATTTACCTTCACTCCATGGCCCACATCATCCAGTACTGTGAAGTCGATGGGCTTCCTGATGTACCTCACGGGCCGCTCAATGTTGGCAGGAGCGATGATCTTATGAGTCCTTGATGTGTTCTTATTTGTTGTCAGGATGCCAATCTCTCTCCGGGCGACCTTCTCTTTATGGATGTCCACCGTCTGATAAACACACAAGACAAAAACAAGATGAAAGATTGACAACAAGGTCCAGAAGCCTAGCCTATAATTTGATTACATGCTTGTCATAAAATAAAGCTGTACAGCTTTTTCTACTTACGGTACGGACTACGGAAATCATTTACACTACGGTTCAAATGTGTGGAGTAAGAATTTTTTTTAAAGAAATTTATATTTTTATTCAAGAACACGTTAAATTGATCAAAAGTGACAGTAAAGACATTTAAAATTGTACAAAATACTTTCTAAAAGTATCACTGTTTCAACAAACAGATTAAGCAGCACAACGGTCAACACTGATAATAATCAGAAATGTTTCTTGAGCAGCAAATCAGCATATTAGACTGAGTTCTGAAGGATCATATTACACTAAAGACTGGAGTAATGATGCTGAAAATTCAGCTTTGCCATCACAGGAATAAATTATATTTTCAAATAGAATTTATTTGATAATAAATACAAATTTATTATGAATATATTTACAATAAATAATAGTTTATTTATTTTGTTATTTTAAATTGCATTAATATTTCACATTATTACTGTTTTTACTGTATTTTTTGATTGAATAAATGCAACCTTGTTGAGCAGCATAAGGGAAAAAAATATTACAGACATTGAACTTTTGAATGGTGATGTACATCATTATATAATAACATTTCTTTTAAAAAGTGAATGAACCATGGTGAATGTTATTCTTCATCACAGGGGTTTTGGAGACGGGATATGACATGCCAGCCAGTCGGACCGTGTACACACATGCAGGGTAAAGTCCATAAGCTGTTAATGTGAAATTAGTGTGGTGATGCGACGGACACGGAAGGCTTTCTTCAGCGCTGTGATTCACTGCAGTGTCTGTACCCTGTTGGGCGAGACATCCTCCGGGGGTTTTAAAGAAGAAGTGAAACACTTTTGACCTTAAATAGACACTATAAAAGAGAAAAGTACCCCTAACGGTGTATAAAACACCAGGCAGCCTCTGTTTTTCAAACTAATAGGGCACAAAAACCACATGCTGTGTCTCAATTTGCCAACTAGTACACATTAAAAGTATGCCAGACATACTACAGCGTGATACTTTAGGTAATACATTTAAAAATTGGCATGAAAGCTTCAGCCTCTCAAGCCAATTTTCAACATTCAGAAGCATCTTAGAGTATGCATCATCTCACAAATACATCATTAGAAAATCCACCAGAAAAGTACATAATCCAGGCTTACTATTCTCAGTGTACAAACGCAAATGCCAAATGCGATTCAGGTTGCACTAATTCTAATTTTGCATACAGAGAGTATGAAAATTGGGACCCAAGGAGTATTTCTGTGAATGCTTTAAATACTTAAACTAAATATACTAAATACATACTTAAACTACTTTCAAACCCCTAAAAGAGTGCAACAGTGCCTGCCCACTGTTTCAGCAGCGCTGGTTCTGGAAGTATTTTTTTTCCATTCTTTTCTCCCTTAGGGATTTTAAAACAGTCTTCGTTAAAGCTTTATAGGCCGTGAACCAAGCCAACCAGCTCAAGGTGAATCATAACATTACAAAATTTGATTTGAAGCAGAAACATTTGAAAATCGGACAAAAAAATGCAATGGTTCAAGACTGTGTACTTAACAGCTTTAGTGAGTGGAAAAAAAATGACAATCCCATGAAGACTTGTGAACATAATCAAATAAAAAATAAAGAAATAGAAAATTACTCATTTGAAAATGTTGTTTATATATATATATATATATATATATATATATATATATATATATATATGTACATAAACTATGTTTCAAGCTTATTGCAATAAAATATGCAATATATACAAATATTTAAGTATTTTGAGAGCATAGGGAGATCGACTTGATTCAGTGTTTCCTTGGAGTAGGCGGAGCTTTTGGATTGTGACGACTCTCTGATTGGTGGAATTTTCTGTCCAGCGTCATGGTTAATGCAGTTTTTACTCCATGATTTCCGCTGTTAAACACGATTATTTTAAGAATAAGTTGAAATAACGCAGGCTGACAATTTCAACAGAAGCAAATTCCATTGATTAACAACCCCGTAGCTCACAGCCGGGCTGTCTTTAAAGTTTTAAACGTTATTGTTAAAAATCAATTCCATGAAGAAAATGAATGGAGTTTTTACTCCAGTTGTAATGAAATTAATTCATGAAACTTTAACCATATAATCAATATTTTAAAATGACTGAAATCTTTTAAAAATTCCTTTAAAAGAAAACTTTAGAAGTTACATCAAAATTCAGATTAATTTGTGAAAGTCTATTTTACTATACAATTTATTTAGGTGATTTGTACACACTGACTATCTGTGTGTATTTGAAAATAGTTTTTAAATTACATTAAAGGGATAGTTCACCCAAAAATGAAAATTAAGTCATTAATTACTCACCCCCATGCTGTACCAACCCCGTAAGACCTTCGTTCATCTTCGGAACACAAATGAAGATATTTTTTATTAAATCTGAGAGCTGGATCACTGCTACATAGGCTTCATAAGGGATTGAAACTTGACGGCCCAGAAAGTCAATGAAGAAAATGTTTAAATATTCCATGTGACTACAGTGGCTCAACAATAAGTTTATCAAGCGCCGAGAATACTTTTTGTGCGAAAACCCCCCAAAAATAACGACTTTATTCGACTATTCCTTTCCTTCCTTGTGGGCCTGAGACGAGAGTTGAAGAGATTTCCACGACGCATGCGCGAGAACTGAACAAGTAGTAGTAGAAGAAGAACGTCCTCTTCTCAGTTCTCGCGCATGCGTCGTGGAAATCTCTTCAACTCTCGTCTCAGGCCCACAAGGAAGAAAAGGAATAGTCGAATAAAGTCGTTATTTTCGTTTGTTTTTCCGCACAAAAAGAGAGCTGGATCACTTATTCTACTTATTCTCACTACTTATTCTCGTCGCTTGATAAACTTATAGTTGAGCCACTGTAGTCACTTGGACTATTTAAACATTTTCTTCAATGACTTTCTGAGCCGTCAAGTTTCAATCCCTTAAGAAGCCTATGGAGGAGTGACCCAGCTCTCAAATTTAATCAAAAATATCTTCATTTGTGTTCCGAAGATGAACGAAGGTCTTACGGGGTTGGAACAACATGAGGGTGAGTAATTAATGACTTAATTTTCATTTTTGGGTGAACTATCCCTTTAAATGACTAGTCGCTACTAGTCACTAATCAAAGATACCAGTCACATAACGTGATTTGAATTACTTTAGCCCTTCTTTTGATTTATAAATACTTTTTTTTTTTACCTAATTCAGTGACATTCCACATCAATGTTTTGAGTCTTTTGAGATGACTAAAAATAGTAAATTCCATTTTTAGATTGTGGAATTCTGTGTTTTCCACATTGTGGAAGTCCTAGGTCCCTGTTTTTGTTCACAAATCAGGAATTTTCCATGGACCTACTGACTATATTCTGACAAACCTCATTCTGAGAAATGCTGTCCTAAATAATATACTCTACAAAACACACAGATATTGGAAAATGGTTAATGTGATCACGTAGAGCTCTTAGAAGAATATGAGAAAATTCCCCCATGATGGAAAGAATGTCTTTATATTTTATATTTGATGAATGGCTTAAAAAGATGCATATCATGTTTTCAACTCATTCTGACTATCTACAGTTCACCCAAAGGCCAAAATCAGTGGCATAAAAAGCTGACACAATGAATGCTGGGTGTTTATCTGAACGGCTCTGCATCACTTGCACTAGTGCTGAGGTTTCAGTTCCCTATAAAGACTCGACTTTACGGATTCCTCAATTAGGCTTCATGGGCAACAAAGTTGACCAGTAACACACCATACAGCACCAATTAAAATGTTTATTGCCATCTGCTTGATCTAGTCTCTCTCTCTCTCTGGCACACGAGAGACTGGAGCAGATGCAGAAGGCCTCCTGTTGGAGATGAAAGGGCAGCAGTGTCTGCAGTGCAGAAACACAGAGGATCCCATTCATTTCTCAAAGGAGTCAGAGCAGCTCCAGCTCTTATTCAACATCAGGAAGAAGGAGTCTTGTGCATTGCGCCCTTAAAAACCTCTGAGGTTTAAATTGATCTGCTTATTACTTAGTCATCTCAAAAGACTGGTTCAATACTGGTGTAATACTACATACAGGAGCCCTTGATTTACACACACAACTGTGAAAGTCCAAAAAAAAAAAAAAAAATCACTTTAAACTAAATTATCGATATGATATGAATATGTTAGAACTGCCTTAATTCTTCATGGCATAGATTCAACAATCTGTTGAAAACATTCCTCAGATATTATGGTCCATATTGACGACAGCATCATGCAGTCGCTGCAGATTTGTTGGCTGCACATCCATGATCCATGATCTCCCACTCCACCACATCCCAAAGGTGCTCTATTGGATTGAGATCCGGTGACAGTGGAGGCCACTTGAGTATAGTGAACACATGTTCAAGAAACCAGTTTGAGATGATTTGAGCTTTGTGACATGGTGCATTATCCTTCTGGAAATAGCCATCAGAAGATGTGTACACTGTGGTCATAAAGGGATGGACATGGTTTGCAACAATACTTAGATAGGCTGTGGTATTAAAGGGCCCAAAGTGTTCCGGGAAAATATCCTCCACACCATTACACCACCACCACCAGCATCAACCGTTGAGACAAGGCAGGATTGATCCATGCATTCATGTTCAATTCTGATCCTGCCATCTGAATGTCACAGCAGAAATAGAGACTCATCAGACCAGGCAAAGTTTTTCCAATCTTCTATTGTCCAGTTTTGGTGAGCCCATTTGTACTGTGGCCTTAGTTTCCTGTTCTTATCTGACAGGAGTGGCACGTGTGTGTGTTCTGCTGCTGTAGCCCGTCTGCTTTAAGGTTAGACGTGTTGAGTGTTCAGAGATGCTCTTCTGAAGACCTTGGTTGTATGAGTGGTAATTTAATTTACTGTTGCCATTCTATCAGCTTGAACCAGTCTGGCCATT